GTGACACAGCTTGAGAACCCTATGTTTTGTGTCCTCGCCTTCCATGGTTGTAGTCTATGTTCTTAGTAATATGTACCCTAGATCAGCAACAACAGTTCTTATTGTGCAACGACGAATTTTATGTGTATCCTAGATTAAGTCTCAAATTAATATGTTATGAAAGCATATGTTCGAATAATAAAGTTTGTACACAAACTTTTGAAGGAAAAGAATTTTTGGGGGGATTAAGTTTCGGGAGAAAGGCAAGAAGATGAAGGTTTAATTCCACAAAAAAGGGATAGGGGATAGAATGGAGAATTAAAGTTATGGAGGATGAACTAGAGATGCTCTAAGAAACTCCAATTTGGACACCGGCTCTCCTTGTGTGCCAGGACAGACTCATCGTCACGTTTGCATCTACAGTGCCCGGCAGATAGACAACAATGGAGCAAAAACAACACACATGCTAAGGATATAGTTTAATCTCACAACTCTAAGGAGCAATCCAAAACAATTGCCCTATGTTTGCGACACATATTCAGGAAGCTACATTCAACTATTCGAGGTTTACATTCCAAATAACCTGAAGCAGATACTTGTATAGAAAGAAAGAAATTATGTATGTATAGGGAATTCCCAGTACAGAGGGCAAGTTGTACTATACGGCACAAAATGTCTCCAGCACAGCACAGGCTTTCTAAACACTAGTACTAATATATCAGACTATATAAATGTAGCATGATATTTGTAATACAAATTACCAAAGAAACATACTCCCACCGTACCATAATATAAGAACGTTTTTGACACTAGTGTAGTGTCAAAAACGCTCTTATATTATGGGACGGAGGGAGTAGAATCATGAAAGATGTTGTAGGAAAAGCAGGACACTGATCGATAGAGTAAGTGAACAACCACCAAAGAACAACTGTAATCATTTCTATTCATCAGTATATGGTCTATCCAGGTTTACATCACAACCTATCACAACTGGGTGCACAAGTACAGCAAGAAGACAGACAAGACACTATCCATGTATGTGAGATGTTGAAAGAACGTCGTTACTGTATGTATGCTTCAACTTCACTATATCTAATCTACAGTACTACACTCAAGATGAAAGCTTGCACCTGCCATTTACCTACACCATGAAGCTTTCTACTGAGTAGCCGGTGAATCGTTTTCAAACTCAAAGAGTATTTAAGCTCACTGATCTAGGTAAGGGACAAGCCATTCTGGCGGATCATTGAAGAACATATATGACTCCCGTAGGTGCAAAACATTGAGAGCCAACTCACAAGCAGCACGATTGGATTCTTCTGGAATGTCCCGGACTACGAAATGTGGGTATCCCTGGCTCAGGAATTCTTTCAGCTGCACTACATCTGGCGGTTGATCCGAAGAGGCGTATAGCGGGTTGAGCAGAGGGAGCAGATGGGACTCCAGCGTGATACTAGCTGGTTGATAGGACAGAGCGATTTTGATCCCTTTGCAACAAGCAGCTGCAAGCAGAAGAGCTGGCTCCCTGCGTAGTATCGGACTAAAGCATGATGCACCGACGAATTGTGCCGTGCTGCCATTCCTAATCAACACCCCTGCAGCACTATTAATTCCATCCTCTGCAACCAAAGAAGCAACGTTCAACCTCAGCGTCGTCACCTTCATCGATGCAGGTCTCTTTCCTTTGATATCTACTGTGGGCAGCACTGCAATATGACACACACGTTGATGCACATGTAATCTTCTGGAAACAAGTGTCAATAAAGATTTTAACCTTTTCTTTTCTGCTCTGACCCAGGGTGGCACGGCCATAGTGGTCCGACCGTCCGTGTACCATGCTTTTGTGGCGAAAAAATATTATCCAAGAGTTCATTGAATGCTTGTGCTGGAAAAACATCAGAGAAAGAACCATCACATAAAACATTAGACAAAGCATATTACTAAACATTGCTGCAATATAATTGGCTTCACCTTCTCGTTGAAATAGCATTGCATGAAAAATCAAGGAAAAATGCAATTAATTACTCAGAAGTTATTTCAAGTTTCGACCTCTACTTGGATATACTCCCTCCGTCCCATAATGTAAGACGTTTTTTGAGGGGAGTACAAGATAGAGGTGGCAAAGAAGGTAGAATCTGTGATAGCTTATTCTATCTGCTCATAGGTGGACTAGAAATGATCTTTCAGAATGAACTAGAAAAAACTTTCACTGGGTTCTGTGCCAGTGAGGCGGTGACCTCATAGGACCCCTATTCCAGTGTTGCTTCATAATGTGTATATTCAACTAGACAAAATACAGAAATATTGTATCTCTGAACATAAACTCATAATATGTGCAAAATAAACATGTCTGAATTAGAGCAACAAAGCACAGATGCATGCAAAGGATGAACGAAGTATTTAGATGGTAACTAGGCATCTATATATATGTACCACTAGATTTCACTGTATTATAAAGCAAACATGCCCGGTGGCTTATCGACTCTGTCAGTTAAGTGGGCAAATGGTAAAATCATCGAAAAGCAGCAAGAAGTTCCATCTTATTAATTCCAATTTTCCAAACATTCTAGACTACTTGCCGAAGTAGAAAATCATATCACGAATACACTGGCAATCTCTCAATAATAATATACTTTGTTTTTCGTGATTGGCATGTCTAGCAGGAGTAGTGAACAAATATTAATGAACAAGTAGTGAACAAATATTAATGAACAAGTAGTGAACAAATATTTCTTTATACTTTCTTTTTTCAATTAGTATTATATTAACGAACAAGTACTAGTGAACAAATATTTCCTCGTTGTATTAGGACAGTGGACTCATGACTTTACCATGGTACAAAGCAAGAAACTTGTCAGCACTAATTTAAGTTAACAGGCAGGTTCACAGGTCATTGGGATTTCTTTATTTTTTGTGAATTGGCATGCAAGCAGGAGTGACATGACATACTAATAAACATGTTAAGTGACGCACCACGGATTCAGGGTAAGAAAACAGGAAATGTTACTAACCAAGTGTAGGATTATCCCGCAATGGAACATATGCTGAAGCATGAGTTCCGGAGTTAAAAGCAGATGTTTCATCAAGCGGCACTACAAATCAGACATGATGATCAGTCCAAATGCATACTTATGTAAGAAAAAATGTAGAGTTAGCAAACATGTAACATTTACTAACCATCATTCGAGTTTGCCTGCACTGGAGGAAAAGTTGCAGTATAATTCCTTGAGTTAGAAGCAGATAACTGATTATGCATTGCAGCATCTCTGACCTCTGCACACATTTTATGATGCCATGATGGTTAGAAGAAATACAACGTTTTTATTTTTGAGGTATAGAGGATAGGGGATAGAAGTAAAACAACGAACTTAGAAATACCATTACTACAAGGTTCGTTGGTCAACATCCTTTCAGAATATGAACTTGAATTGTGTGGGTGCATATTATGACCTGTAAAAGAATGACACAGATCATCCACCATAGATATACATACATTTACCTTGATCAATTTGTAACTGACCACGAAAGTGAATATCACATAAAAGGGTAAGGAGCAGTACACAGAAACCTTGTCAACAAGTATATGAATATTTAACATAGGTGCATATTGACTGCAGAGCAACTTGGTAACTAAGCAGCTATGCTAAGTTTTGAACTTAAGCTTCTGTTAGCAAATGTTCTTACTGTTTCAGAAAACCTTGGAGTAGTTGATAGGAGTTCATCTTGTTAATTTCAAACATTCCAGACTACACTGCCAAAGCTGGAACTTGAATCGCTAATACACTGGCAATCCTTTCAGTAATAAGATATGAATGAATAAGCAGCAAAGAAATATTTCCTCATTGTATGAAGACAGCAGACTCATGACTTACCATTGTACAAAGCAAGAAATTTCCCAGCATTAATTAAGTTAACAGGCAAAGCTCACAAGGATTTTTCTTTCTTTGTGAATTGGCATGTCAAGCAGGAGAGACATGACAAACTATCAAGAATGCAGGTAAGATAGGGGTAAGAAAATAGGAAACACTACTAACCAAGTGTATAATAACCTCGTGATGGAACATATTCTGAAGCATGAGTTCCAGGGTTAAAGGTAGATGTTTCATCAAGAATCACTACATACCAGACTTGATCAGCTCAAATACATACTTATATGAGAAAAGTTATAAAGTAAGCAAACATGGAACATTTTACTAACCATCATTCGAGTTTAATTGCAGTTGAGGAAATGTTGCAGTATGATTCTGTGAGTAAGAAGCAGATAATTGATTATGCGTTGCAGTATCTCTGAGCCCTGCACACATGTGATGATTGTTAGTAGAAATACACAGTTCGGATAGATAGAAGTAAAACACCAAATTTAGCTATACCATTACTACCAGGTTTGTTAGTCAACATCCTTCCAGAATTTGAATTTGAATTTTGTGGGTGCATCTTATGACCTGTAAAGAATATCGCAGATTATCCACCATAGATATACACCCATTTACCTGGATCTATTTTTAACTGACTACGAAAGTAAATATTAGATGCAGGACAAGGAGTGGTAAACAGAAACCTTGTCAACAAGTATACGAGTATATTTACCATAGGTGTATATTGACAGAAGAGCAACTTGGTAAACTGAGCAGATATGCTAAGCTACTAACTTTAGTTTCTATTAACAAATGATTGTCCTGTTACAGAAAACCTTGGAGTAGTTGATAGGAGTTCATCTTGTTTATTTCAAACATTCCAGACTACATTGGCAAAGTTGAAACTTGAATCGCTAATGCACTGGCAATCCTTTCAGTAATAAGAGATGAAGGAATAAGCAGCAAACAAATATTTCCTCGTTGTATCAAGACAACAGACTCGTGACTTACCATGGTACAAAGCAAGAAACTTGTCGGCGTTAATTTTAAGTTAACAAGCAAAGTTCAAAAGTCATCAGGATTTTCCTTTCTCTGTGAATTTGCATGTCAAGCAGGAGTGGCATGACAAACTAATAACATGTTAACTGATGTATCAAGAATGCAGGGAGGGTAAGAAAACAAGAAACACTACTAACCAAGTGTGTAATAACCCCCTGATGGAACATATGCTGAAGCATGAGTTCCAGGGTTAAAGGCAAATGTTTCATCAAGCATCACTACACATCAGACATTATGATCAGCTCAGTACATACTTATGTAAGATAAATTATAAAGTAAGCAAACATGGAACATTTACTAACCATCATTCGAGTTTAATTGCAGTTGAGGAAATGTTGCAGTATGATTCCGTGAGTAAGAAGCAGATAATTGATTATGCGTTGCAGTATCTCTGAGCCCTGCACATGTGTGATGATTGTTAGTAGAAATACAAAGTTCAGATAAATAGAAGTAAAACACCAAATTTAGCTGTGCCATTACTACCAGGTTCGTTGGTCGACATCCTTCCAGAATATGAACTTGAATTGTGTGGGTGCATATCATGACCTGTAAAATAATAGCACAGATCATCCACCTAAGATACACACCCGTTTACCTGAATCTATTTGCGACTGACTACGAAAGTAAATATTAGATGCAGGACAAGGAGTGGTACACAGAAACCTTGTCAACTTCGTAAACTGAGCAGCTATGCTAAGTTGCTAACTTTTAGTTTCAATTAAGAGTCATTCGTCCTGTTTCAGAAAACTTTGGGAGTAGTTGATAGGAGTTCCATCTTATTTATTCCAAACGTTCCAGACTACATTGCCAAAATTGAACTTGAATCATCGCAATCCTTTCAGTTACCCTATATGAATGAACAAGTAGCGAACAAATATTTCCTTGCTGTATCAAGACAGCACACTCGTGAGTCACCATGGTAAAAAGCAAGAAACTTGTTAGCATTACTTTCAAGTTAACAGACAAAGCGCACAAGTCATCAGGCTTTCGCTCTTTCTTTGTGAATTGGCATGTCAAGCAGGAGCAACATGACAATTAATAAACATGGTAATTAACAATGCAGGGTAAGGAATCAGGAATTGTTACTAACCAAGCTTAGAATTATTCCGCAATGGAACATATGCTGAAGCATGAGTTCCGGAGTTAAAAGCAGGGGTTCCATCAAGCATCACCACACATCAGACATGAATGATGATCGTTCTAAATACATACTTATGGGAGAAAAATTGTAGAGTAGGAAGACATGGAACATTTACCGACCATCAGTTGAGTTTGCTTGCTGTGGAGGAAATGTTGCAGTATGATTCCTTGGGTTAGAAGCAGATAATTGATTATGCATTGCAGCATGTCTGAAGTCTGCACACATGTACCATGATGGTTAGTAGAAACAGACAGTTCGGATAGAAGTGAAACACCGAATTTTGCTATACCATTACTGCCAGGTTCATTGGTCAACATCCTTCCAGAATATGAACTTGAATTGTGTGGATGCATATTATAACCTGTATAAGAATGACACAGATCATCCACCATAGATATACAACCATTCACCTTGATCTATTTGTGACTTACTATGAGAGTAAATAGTAGATAAAGAACAAGTAGCAGTACACAGAAATCTTGCCGGCAAGTATAGGAGTATATCTACCATAATCCATAGGTGTATATTGACTGCAGAGCAACTTGATAAACTAAGCAGCTATACACTAAGTTGCTAACGTAATTTCTCTTGGCAAACGTTCCTCCTGTCAGAAAAGCTTGCAGTAGTTGATAGGATTTTGAGAAATAATGAATTACCTGAAAGATAATGTAACCAAAACCTGCATGTTCAATCTTGGATAAACATGGCAGTAGAAAAATAAAATCCTTGTGGCAATCATCTTGATCGTATATGTACAGTCATACGTTCACAACATATACAATATACTGTGAAAATAATCTTGACAAAATGCCAATAAAAACGGCCATCTATGAGTTATAAACTCATAACAGGGAAAATCCTCAGGTAAATCTGTAAATGACGTTCAACAAAATGCTCAGTGACACCAAGAGAAGATATGCTAGAGGTTATAGTGCTGAACCTGCATCTGAAGTAAAATTGGATGGACCACCACCAACCATCTGGGATGAAAAAAGTCTGCAAAAATAGAACAAACATTTAATTTATATGCAGAGATAAACTCAAATCATTATATGTCTAGCTAATTGAGATAGCATATCAACATTTTAAGAAGCAACACAAGTAGCATCCTTTTGTAAAACGGAAGATGGTTTCATTTTTCCCGAATGAGATGGTGCCTTGCCAACATAAATAACTTCCACGGAAAGAATTCGACAGAAGATTTATCTTGTAACACGAGACTAAGCCAAACCTTTTAAGTTACAGAACAAAACTGAACAGAATTTGCCATAACCATTCTATCGAGTAGCAGAAATTCTGCACAGGAGATTAAAGGAAATCAATCAAGTGCTTGAGCACCATTCCAATAACAAAATTGTAGTATTATTATACGCGCTATACTACACTGAATCGCTCATTACGCAAGCAACAAATCGGCACCAGAGACCAGATGGAACTAACCGTAGATGCTTAGGACCATTTCTCGGGGTACAAACATCGAACAGATAGCGGGCGACACATGGTAGGAAACTAGGAACACGGCATTACGAGGAAGAGCACGAGCCACTGCGAGATTTCAAGTACCAACCTGCTTTGGGTCGCGTTCAGCCATGCGTTTCGGGCCCAATCCACGATCAGCGTCTTGTCTCCGGGAACCAAACCTCTGGAGGACGAGAAAACAACGCAACCAAATTAGTAGTCCTACTACTAGAGGAAGCGCGAGAAGCAGGCGCAGGAATCGTGGCGGCTAGCCCCGGGAGGAAGCGGGGGAAGGAGCGTCGCATGGGCCAGAGCAAGAGCTGGATCCATGAAGCGAGACGCCACCGAGAGGCGAGGACCGCACCTTCGCATGAGCAGCAGGAGAGTCTCCGCGACGTATTTGATCTGGCGGCAGTGCGGGTCCTCGGACGCCCCGGGTATGGAATTCAGGTAGTGGAGGAGGTCGTACGGCTTGCGGCGCATGACGAGCTCGTGGACGCGGCCCGGGTCGAGGTGGCGGGAGCCATTGCCGGAGCCCGAGGAGCCCATCATCTGTGCCTGCACGAGCGCGCGCGCGCGGAGAGAGAGAACCGGAAGTGACTACGCGGGAGAAGGGAAGGGAAGGGAACGGAGCAGCGGAGCGGGAGCGCGACGGTGGAGGAGAGGGGCTTACGTCAATGGCGGCGGCGTGGGGCGGCGCGTAGGCTGAGGGAGGAGAGGGGCTTACGTCAATGGCGGCGGCGTGGGGCGGCGCATAGGCTGAGGGAGGAGAGGCGGGGGTGGTCGGTGGGCGAGGAAGCCGAGAATGGAAAAACGGGGTGCGCCGCGACGCCGCTTCCTCTTCCTCTTCGATCTCTTCGTAGGCACGGCGAGACGGCCGGGGCCGCGTGCGTGGGTTGGACGCCAAACGCTTTGGCGGCGCCGGAAGGAAACGCGGCCCACTGGGTTGTGAAGGAGCGTCGAAAGGGGCCTATGTGCTTTTGGTGGGGACTGGACATACCACCACCACGGACCAGATTTGGGCCCAATAATACAGGGTTGTCTATTTGAAAGAGAATAAAAAAGTAAAACGAGTAAAACTTAAAATCTTGTTCTTCGTGACCCGATATTCCTAATATAAGAGCGTTTTCTACACTAGTGTAGTAGTGTCAAATACGCGCTTATATTATGAGACAAAGAGAGTAGTTTTCGAGCTTCTCGTCTCAAAAGGAGTTATTTACCTAAAACCACCACACTTGGTGTTAGGGTAACAACTTGATATCACATTTGAGTCAGGGCACAAAAAATCACCAACTCTGTGCCTAATCAATAACGCGGAGCACTGATTGTTTAATTTGGTCGGAAAAAAGCAAAACCGACGGGTAGGTCCTACCTGACGGGCTGACGTGGCGTGCTTGTGTGGACAATTTACTGAGTTGGACGAGGGCCCCACCTGTCAATGACTAGAGTCTTCTTCTTTCTCTCTCCAATTTTCTTATGGGCATTTCAACAAACATGCTATGGGCGTGTCTTCATCGGCGCCCGGATCAGGTGAGGTCGCGCAGCAGTGCACCGGGGAACGCGCGATGCAGCTGCAGCAAGGAGAAGCTCAGGCGACACCCATGGTGGTATTCTTTGGCTATGAAGGCGATGGTGGGCTCAAGCGCAGGGGACGCCGATGACGGACTTGCGGCCGCCGCAGGACATGCCCTCCATGGCGCGCGGCCAGGGCCTCCCTGGGCATCGCCGCCCGCCACCGGGTACAACAGCTCCAGCGCCGCCGACATGTGCTCCATCATGGCGCCCATGGGGCCTGACGCCGCAACCGCCTCCATTAATTAGCATGTGCCCGCGCAAGAGACGCCTAGGGGCGGCCCCATGCTTCTGGTTTGCCGCCCGCCACTGCTCGCAATTTCACTGCCAACTCGCGCCGCCAGTCACTGCTCGCGCCGCCAGGCAATGGCCGATGCAGTGCACGCATGCGTTCGTCCGGGGAGACATCTGGCCATGGAGGCACGAGGTCCAGCGGGGCGGATTTTAGGTTGCTGGGACGACGGGTTAGCTCGTTGGTGATGGGGTATCTCGCTGGGGTTGGGCTCCGGCAGCGGTGCAGGATAAGGAAGTGGTGGGGGTTGGTGGATTGGAGGGAGAGAGAGAGGAAGAAGAGAGAGGCTGACAAGTGGGGCATTGGGCCAACTGAGCGAATTATCCACATAGGCACTCCACGTCAATCCGACAGGCGGGCCCCACCTGTTGGTTTTGCTGTTATTGCAACCAAATTCGAGCATTAGTGCTTCGCGTTACGCATTAGGCGTAGAACCGGTGTTTTTTTGTGCCCTGACTCATATGTGGTACTCCCTTCTTCCATCTATATAGGGCCTAATGCGTTTTTTGATGTTAACTTTGACCAAATGTTAGAGCAATAATATATGATATGCAACTTACACAAAGAATAACATCAAATTCGTATGTGAAAGGAGATTTCAATGATATAATTTTTACATTATGCATGTCATGTACTATTAATCTTGTCAATAGTCAAAGGCGGCTTTGGAAAAAGCATTAGGCCCTATATAGATGGAAGGAGGGAGTACCAAGTTGTTACCCTAGTCCGAAGTGTGGTGGTTTTGGGTAAACAACTCTCTCAAAAGTATTAGAACTTCATATATGTTTTGCTTCCAATGTTTTTTTCAGAAAGTAAGGTCTGGTGGCTTGCAATTCAGGAGCTGAAAAGAAAATGTGAAGTTATAGGTTTGAAACTGCAAATGTTGTATTGATCGGTTTGCGATTTCAATTAGGGTGCTTTTTCTTAAATTAAACTGGTCCACGTCAATGAAAAAAATATGTTCCTTCAGAGCCATCCAATCAAAAGCAGATTTGACCGTGGTCATGGAGGCGGCACACGCAGAAATGTCAGCTCGACATGGCAATGAGTACCCGCTACCCACAATCTTGATGGGTAAAACTCCTATTAGGTTAAGGATTTGGAAAAGTTAAATACCTATGGGTCTGTAAATGGCAAAAAATGTACCCAACGGGTAAGCCGAGTATGGATATAGGAAGGCAATACCTATACTTGTGTACCCGCCTACCCGTATATTAGCACATCTAACATGTAGGTCCCTTATGTCATTCAGTAAAAAATGAAAAACCCTATCCTAACAGCTAGAGCACACACACAAAATACTCTCCCCTCACCCACCTATTGCGTCGTCACACTCATAGAACACAAACCCCATCTCCTCATCTTGCCTCGGCTGAAATGCTAAATATACATGCTAAATTTTTGTGTTTTATATACTGAAATGCTGAGATTTATACATGGTAAAATGTGAATTGAAAGGTGATCGAGATGGATATTTTTACCCTGGTTATTACCCACGGCTGGGTATGGGTATGGGAACAATATAAAACCCGAGGTGCAGGTACAAGCACTGGCGGAGCTACTCACGGGCAAAACCCGTGCCGTGACCCGCCCAACAAATCACTAAAAATAAGTTATATACATATGCAGCACACCCAGTTGGCACTTGGCAAGCCATAGTCCAGTCCGTTAGACCAGCACACCACCCGCAAAAAAAAAAAGAGGAAGAAAAGACCAGCACACACACATCTGAACACAGCCAGGCTTGTCTCGCATCCATCTCCTATTCTCTCTCTACGCCTCGTCCAGTACTAGAGCACGGCACCGGCCGACGGCGGAGGTCCAGCAGTCAGGGAAGCAGTCGGAGCTAGGCAGGTAGTGGCAACTCCATAGTGTGGAGATCCCCGATCCATCCCCCATCTGATGTGGAGGCACTAGCGGTGGCGAGCCTGCAGTGGAGGCAAGCAGAGCAACGAGCGGAATTGGTAGCACAGACTTGTTCAGTCAGCTGATCTTTATAAATTATAATTTAGGTGTCATCTGTCATGGACAAAGGTAGCTAGTGAGGAATTGATTTGGTTTTTAAAAGGAAAAGATATGATGCTTTTTTTGCGAAATGAACTCAAGGAAAAGATATGATGTGAATGAACTCGAGGAAGATCCTTCATCACCAGCAGATCATCCTCTACCCTTGGTTGAATTGGAACAACAGCAGCAGCAAATCAAAATGAAGGACTTCAACCAAATGAACATGTACTATTTAAAGGTATTGAATTCTTGCAGTGAGATCCAGGATTACGCCCACATATTTGGCTTATGCTATTTAGTACGTGTCGCACATCTGCTGATCTTATAGTCAATGAGAGCAAAAGTATCTGTTGATCTTGTGGCCAATGAGAGCAAAAGTATGCACTATGCGTACTGAAATGGTATATACAGTTCAATTTTTGTGTGCTCTTCATTAGCTTGGCCCGCCCAATTTTTTCTTTGTAGCTCCGGCACTGGGTACAAGTATGAATTTAGAAGAAAAACAATTGGGACAGATATGGGTTTGGGTGAGCATTACTCGCACCGTGCCATGTCGATTATCAGCCCACTGAATAGAAGCGTTTCCGTAAAAGGACGCCCATAGTTCAGGTAGACAAGTTGACATTTCCTTTCCATGAACCCAAATCGAGCATTTTACACACATAAGTGCAAACTTGCATTGCACTTCTTACTCAACACATCTAAACAAAGATCAAAATACAGCAGAAAAGCGAACAAATACGGCCGATTGTATAGATGATCCTGTAAAATTTGATGGAAGCGTTCCTACTCCTCGTAAGAAGCCGCGTGATGTATATTTATGTGCGACAGGAAAAGCCCCTGTTCGTGGCGTACAAGGCAAGGCTGATCGCTAGGATACAGCTCGTACAGAGAAGAGAGAACGAGGTAGTTACGAGAGGGAATAGAGATAGGAGACAATTGAGATTACAATAGGTTTAAACCGTATCATCTAACACCCTCCCTTAATCTCAACTATCCTATATTCAATTTTTTCTTGAATTCTTCAAATGGCTTGACTGGCAAAGCTTTAGTGAAACCGTCTGCCACTTGATCCTTGGAAGGAATAAACCGTATGTCCAGCTTCTTCTCTGCAACTCTTTCTCTCACAAAGTGAAAATCAATTTCAATATGTTTGGTTCTACCACGAAAGACTGGATTAGCAGAAAGATAGGTTGCTCCCAAATTATCACAACATAAGCAAGATGCACGAAGTTTTTTAATTCATAATTCATGAAGTAATGACTCCAACCAAATAATTTCAGCAGTAGCATTTGCTAAAGATTTGTACTCAGCTTCTGTACTTGACCTTGATACTGTAGCCTGTTTTCTGGCACTCCAGGAAATGAGATTAGATCCAAAAAAATACTGCAAAACCTCCAGTTGATTTTCTGTCATCACTACATCCTGCCCAGTCAGCATCAGAAAAAGCACTAACAAGAGTACAACTGGAGCGTCTAAACTGAAGACCCAAACTTACAATATACTTTATGTATCTCACAATCCTTTTAACAGCTGTCCAGTGTGCAGTAGTAGGTGCATATAAATACTGACAAACCTTGTTAACAGCAAAGGATATATACGGTCTTGTCAATGTCAAATATTGCAAAGCTCCCACAGTACTCCTGTATCTTATGCTTTCTTCTTCCTTAAGAGGTTCATC